CTCATCGCCTATGAATCATATTTGCATGTTATCATCTATTCTAAGCTATCAGTTTGGTGGTAGATGTTCCATAACATGTAGCAAGTTAAAAGGAAATGTGATTTCATTGGATCACATTTTTTAATCAGTCTTTTCTACTTTGTTGTGTCAGTTCTTCTTCTCCGTTATGCCACGCTCAACACTTTCTTTGCTGATGATTCATTTGTATGCCTTAGGGTTAAGGTTCATACCTTTATTTTATGGCATATTTCTCCCTTTTCTGGAAGGAAGTATGATTTTCATTGACAGTAGAGTATCGTCGTTTCTAAGGAATGGCAAGTTGAAGCGAGTAAAAGCGGAAAACCTAATAAAGTACTGTTAAATTAAGTAGACTTACTGGTAGAGGGACAACCCACATGGCTCATTACTTCATGCTAGCCCTCCCTTCCAATCTCATTACCTCTGGCTTTGAACATGCCATCGTTGGCCTTTTCACCAGCACATACCGAAGTAAAACTAGAGCATGGACGCGGGAAGGGGGGGTGCTGAGGGGGCTGCAGCACCCCCATCTGTTGGCGGAGAGTTGTAACTGCAACGCCAAAAAGTTCACTAAACAAATCAATACAAAAGTTTTATTTTGAGTTACTATTTTTGAGTTAGTATTTTAGTGAAAGCAGTCTATAAAAAGCTTCCCTATATAAGAGAAAGTGATAATGCGGTGTGCTTCTTCTGTTGCTCTGCTATAGAAAAGAAGCTTGTCAGTGCAGACAAGAACAGGGATGGGAGTTTTGTGAAAGCAGGGTTTAACAACTGGCGAAAGGCAGGGGAAACATTTAGGGAGCATGAGAAGTCCCATCAACACACAGGCCGTCAACAAACTGGCAGCATTAAAACGAACACTGATGAATGCGTTGCTCTCACAAGCTGTTGCTAAAGACTAAATTACTGCATTTAATATTACGTTATTATACAGAGCCGCCCGTCCCTACACGCAGATCACGCAAATTGCGTGGGGCCTCACCTCGCGGATGGGGCCTCATTTTGCAGAGGAAGCCTCATCTGAAGCGCAAACGAGCGCCGCAGTTTCGCCGCTGCGAGGCTCCACTAGAACCCCCCGCCCCCCCGCACCCCGAACTCTGGCTGACTTCCCGCGTCCCTGAACTAGAGGCTAGAGTGAAAGTGTTTGATCTTGTTCTTTTATATTTGTAAGGGTCTTTACTTAGTTAAGACATTTTGTGCAAACATAATTTCATCAAATGGATCTTCTTTGACGGTTAAGACTTCGGCTCATACAACTAACCCTGAACATCCTGCTCTGAATTCAGGTCCCTCAGTTCTTGTCACACACTAAACCTCTTCACAGTGATAACATGGAGGATGTTGTGTTACATTTGTTTTACTTGACCAAGCTCTTCTGATCAAAGCCTTTGGGCAGAACAAACCAGTTATGTCTAGTCTTCTGTTTTACGTCTAATTGCATTGCTCATTTACATGAAAGAGGAACAGAGTGTAGAGAGCCAAAGCTGAAGATAAAAGACACGAGCTGCCTTATCACAGCAGAACAGCGCTCTGCATGCTATTAGCCTGTTAAGGTAATCAGAGCTCATGCTGAACCTAACAGTTCTATATACCTGTAGGTAGATAGTGACGAGAACACCATCAGGGATTCATTAGCCTGCTGTCATAATTAATGTTGCATGGAGCCGGAAAACAGCTCCCCTCAGGGAAGGGTACGGCGTCAGGTTGGCAAATGTAGGAGGGTGTTCACAATCGCACCGAGTCAGATAGGGTTACGCATTGATTAGTGCTATGAGCTTGTTAGAGCTATTAGGTATCACAACTGATTCAATCACTAGAATGCTGGAAAAAAAGAGTGAACTGTTGTGGACGGAAGAAAGGGGTGGGAAGTCAGGGGAGGAAAGAAGAGGAACATTCTTCTTAACTTTAGTTACGTTTTTTTAGAACTCGATTCTGTACTAAATTTAATTTTCCAATTGCAGCTAAAATGACTTTCACTCGGCACACAGCAGTGAGTTCATGTCATGGATTCGGTATAATCACTAGCTAAGTACAATGGTAATGCCGCAAAACCTGACCAACATAATGCCAGTTTGTGGTGTTTTGGCATGGTTTCTACTAAAAATGTCACAAGAACCCACACTTTACTACCAAGTCGTTGCCAAAATTCTGAAATAGGTACGGAACTCGTTCTTCTACGAAACTACAGAACAAGTGCTCAAAATGGCAATATAATGATGGCAGTTTGTGTTTTTTTGGCACGGTTTCTACTATAAATGTCACAAGAACCCATACTTTCCTACAAAGCCGATGCCAAAAATTCACAAAAAGGGCATGGAACTCGTTTTTCTACGATACCGCAGGACCAGGGCTGAAGATGGCAATGACTTATGGTAAATGTACTTCAAATAGCTTGGGCGGAGACAAATCTAGATGATCAAGTTACTGTGTCTATGTTTGATACTACAAAAATGTGTATGACTTGAACAAAGTTTTCTGGAAATGTGCCATCAAACCAAAACTATAAACTAAAAGAATCAAAAAAATATGTAGAGATCCCCACATGGTGAATAGATATGTTTTTTAATTATTTTATAAGCGTTGGTCAAATTTAAACCAAAAACATGGTCAAATGATATGCATTTATTTTATCTGAATTGACCTGGTTAATCCTGTAACCAGAACCATATTTAAAGAGCGTTGTTGCTGAAGCAGGGCGGTATTACGGAGTATAGAGGCTGTATATATGTTAGCTTCCCTCTGCACAGGCCTCCCTTGTTGCTGCTGCTGCTACACTACTGCTACTCGTGATTTGTGAATATAGGAATGTAGTATGTCAGGCCAACAGTGCGTCAGCCAATCAATTATTCAGGACAAATACAGCCTTGTTTGGTTGCAGGATTCTAGATGGATGGATTGATGGAGGAGAGGAGTAGTGGACGAGGGGCTCAGCTAGCAAAGCGAAGAGAGACATATATAAATTAGATATTTACCCGAGGCCAGAGTGGTATGGATGTTATTTATGGAAGACAGACCAAACCCACTCCCATAAAACAGACGGGCAGCCAGACAATTAAAGAGAGCAGAGAGGCGGCAGAGGAAAGAACATTGCTCCATGTCTGACCTATTTAGCAAACGGAGAGCCAAAAACACAGCAAATCTTAAGTCACTCTGCAGCAGACAGCCAGCGCTAAAGCAGAGCAAACCACTCCAACCCTGTAAAAAAGCTAATCAAAGCCTGCATGGTTCAGAATAGCTTTTAAATTGGGGCTCTGTTTTCTTTTATGCTTTTCACATTTTGAGCTTCTTCATTCCGTCAAAACAGTCCACATATACAGTAAAGAGAGCTACTGGACCACAATGGGTCTCACTACTGAGCCACAAAATGTGTATATGTTTCTGCAGATAGGCAATAGGAAATATATGGTCATTGATCTGAGGCTCCCAGAGTTCATGCAGCAGTTTATGAAGCATAGGTTGGAGGGTGGAGTCTTCTGATCAACACCCACGAGTCTAAGCAAACCTAATGATTGATGTTCCATAATAAACCTGACTTTGGCAGTTGATACGCAGATTATTTCTCGATTCGATTAAACGCTGGTCTAAACAATTGAAGAAAATTGGGAAAAATAACAGTTTCCCACAGTTTGACGTATGATAATGAAAATATTTTGAGAAGTTGGAACCAGGTTGGAATTTGAAGATTTTATGATTATCAACATTTCTACAGCTTATGTTTTCAGCCAATTTTGTAATCTTATAGGAAACAACAGCGAACAGTAATGGGGAATTATTGCCTTAACTAAACATTTCTAATGCAATGTCCTTCAAGATAAAATGAACAAAGTTACTAAAAACATGACAGAAGATGAAACAAATGTGAATAATCCTTTAAGGCCAAACTCAGCCAAAGTGCCAGAGTGAATCCTAACCGGAAATCCTCAGCAAGGACACATTAACACTTGTGGTTTAGTTTGAATCTGGAACCTTAATATTTTGTAATATGAACCCTGTTTCCTGGCAGCAGCTTTTCTTGGAAGACTAACACTCCCATGGCCCTCACACATAGGAGGGGCCCATTGGGCTTTATGCAGGGCTAGTATTTATCTTCACTAGAGCTGGAGGATCAGTTCAGCCGCAATCACAGAGGAGGAAGGGATATCCAAGGCCGATATCTCACAACCTGAACGAAAACCAAAACTTTCTTTTTAAATAGAAACCATACATTTTTTTGCTGATTCAACCCTGGTCGTGCTACCAGAATTGAATGGTACATACTACTTGGCTAGATTTCCCTAACTTTTGCCATGTAATGCATTGTGAACAAATGATAGATCAAGACCACATTCAGAAACTGAATAATTCTAGTACAAACTCTGGCAACTCAAGAACACATAGTGACAAAATCCCGTTTCATTCCAGGTTCTTGAATGCATGAAGTCTTGAAAACATTTGTAACAAGTATGGAGTGTCTTCGATTAGTGAAACATGTGAAAAAAACCTGAAAAAAAAAAATTAACCCCCTTTGGCCTTTTCTGGTCCACCTCTACACACACAACCTTAGTAGAGTAGAGTTTGTAGAGTTTTATAAATGTGGAAAAGTGATCTAGAAGCAGAATGGGTCCCCAAAAAGCTGATTCACAACTGGGGTCAAAGAAACCCATAAGGCCAATCTTTTAAGGCCAACAGTTGAACTGTTTGAACATCTTCTGTTCAAAACTCGGGGTCATGCCACAGCCACATCAAGCTAACAAAGCCGATAAGTTTGAGAGCAACTGAACCAGACAATTGATACCAATACCATACTCTTTCACAAAATACACTAGTACTCCACACATATCAACGTCAAACATCAGACAAAAATGTTTTTGATCCAATAATGTGGATTTCATGAAAAACAGTCCTGTTGAATTCATTCCAACTGATCAGTGTAGGAGAATCCATATAGAGAACCCAAACATCCCCATGATGTGCTCGACTGTGTCCGTGTGGGCAGCACTCACCTGAAGCAGCAGCTGCTCCAGGAGGCTGAGCCCCCATATCGGTGTGTGGCCCCCCGGGGATCGGTGGTACAGGCCTGGGCCAGGATTTGGCTGCAGGAGGGCCAACTCTCAACCCGATGTACTCCACAAAAGTCCCAGGGAAGTCTCCCGTCTCTTTGGTCCTCTCGTTGGTGCCGTGCAGCCAGCCTCTCGGACTCCGCTCGTCCCCATCCTGGTAGTCCAGTCCTGGCACGGCCATCAGTGTTGCCTTTTGGACAGTGAGCAGATCGCCCATCTGGAGGCTGATGTCATCACCGCGCTCCCGCTTGTATTCAAAGAGCACCCGGTACTGGAAACTGTCGGATTCCATGGTTACAGGAGCTCATAGGACTGTTTTAAAACCAAAAATAAAGGTGTTGCCTGAGATTTGCTGAGTTGAAAATGAAATAAATGTCTTGGAAAAATACTAAAAGGAAACTGTTAGTTAAAAAATCCCTGAGGTGAAACTCGATCGCAACCTGTCCAACTTGTAAAGCCGCCTGAGATTTGCTGTTTCGTGCTGACTTGAATGACACAGTGAAAAATGATACAAATCTGATCCCTGAGGTGAAATTTGACACCTTTGCTTAGTCCTACAAAAGCTTGAAGGGAATGTCCAACCTTCTTTATACAAAAATGTAAGTCCTCCAAGTATAGTGAAGCTGAATTGACCAGCTGGCCTTTTGCTTTAAAATGTAGATTTGGTTTAATGTCCATGCAGTTCTTCAAAAATCCGTCGTATAAATCCACCAGTCTGTGGCCTCCAAATGGGCTGACCACTTACCAGCCACCACACCTTGCCTGTGATTTGAAAAGAAAAAGGCAGAGGGGGGCAAGGTGGTCTGGAAACTGGAGGGTGGCACAGTTTTCTAGGACGGGGCAACCTCCAGATGTTCCCCAAAGCTTCTGCAGGTTCTTTCGATTTTAACGAGAAAGTGAACAAAGCCTACTTAGTACTCTGTCAGATCAGACGCCTGCATACTCCTATACACACTCACACACACCTGAGAAAAATCCACTGCAGTGCAGAATTTGGCTTCTAATCCTGAGTGTCCCTATGTGCACTCTGCTGTGTGAAATCCTGCTGCTTCGCCTTTCTTGTCTGCGCAGCCTCCTGGAGCAGACATACGCTCCTGCAAACTTAAAATGAAGTTGTAGAGGTTAACATCACACACGTGTATGCAGATTTAAGGATTACAATGCATTTATATACTGAAATATATCCAACTTGAAATTATTTGTTTAAAAAAGTCAGAGGTTAATTAAGTGCAAAGCATGCTCAAAACTTCAACATAAGTAAGAATATTATAATGAAAATGCATCGAAAACATCCCTCACCACTATGATTAGCAGGCTGACAGAAAGCTATCAGTTACAACAAGCGTGACTCGGCGAATATGAACTTCAGACAGACAGCCTGCCCGACTTAACTCGCCCTGCACCAGTCTGCCCTGCTGTCTGCTGCAAACACACAGCAAACTCACCGCTCAAACTGCACGGAAGAGCCCTGGTCCTCCACCGACGCCTCTGCGCGCGAACTGTCCGCTTCCACACAACCCAAACCCCGCAGTGCGAGCCCAGACATCCGTGAATCCCGTCAGGATAAATGGATGGCGTGGCTGGTCTAGCAGACAGGCAGCCTGCTCGGTGCTGTAGTGACCGGCAGTGCTGATGTCAGTAAACCCCTCCTCCCCCCTCCCCCCTCCCCCTCCTCCTGCCGTCTGCAAATTATGCCAGCAGCCAGCGGCGGAGACGGGACGGGTCGGCATGGCGCAGCTGCAGCAAAACCACCGAATGACCCGGTTATGATGCACTCATAGTTAGTGCCGCATTTGTGATATTTGTGTGTGTGATATTGTGTTAAATACATAGCCACGAGGATGAGTATGGGATGTTCAGGAGCTGCAGAGAGGTCATGAATTATATAGAAGTCTGTGACCTGGAAAATAGTTCCTGCATGTAGCCATATTCATGCACACCAGAGTCGCATTTTAGGGAAAACAAATACATAATTTAAATTCGAAAAATACCTAGAGGATGATAGGATGAGAGCCAGGTAAGAGCTGCATGGTGGGACTTGGTTGTTGGAGTCATGGATGTGTTGTAGTGCGCACATGACGCAGCAGCAGACAGCCAGACTGCTGCGTCATCAGGTGCGCAGGTTTGGAGCTGCAGAGAACATATGGACACATTGTACGGAGCAGGGAGCAGGTCTGCAAGGCTCAACTTTCTACCGTCACTGTAAATCTGATGGAGAAAACCAGAAGAGAACATTATGGATTCGGTCATTATGAAAAAAGCATGTTCTCTTAAGGGTTAGGATAAGTGCAGGTGTGTGTCTTCTTCATGTATTAACATGTTTCCCAAAACTATACATTTAGACTAGTCAAATGTGTTTCTATCATCCCCATTTTGTAATTATTCTGGATGTATTGGCCTTTATCTTATCTTGGTTATGTATGTAAATAAATAACTAGTTTAAACGTGTTTTTAAAATGTTGTTTATATGAACAGTGGAGAAATTAGCATGAATGCATTCCAGGAGGACGCAACCCTGCTTTGATCTGGAGTTGGAAATATGTCAGCGGTACAAAGTAGAAGAGGAAAATTAAAATAGAGGCATTTTTACTAAATGTGATAAGAGTGAGGTGTGGAAACCAAAGCTATCCAAATGAAATACTTTTAGAATATATATATTTTTGAAGGGACAGTTCACCTACCATTATAAACAGGGCTGCACATAACTGGTGCGCAGGTGCGCATGGGCACCTCCGCCAAAAAAAGAGCACCGGGGCCCCGGCTGAAGTCGAATAGTCCATTTAGCTTAGGAACCTTCCTAACGGAGTGAAATGACCGGGAAGTCCCTCAGTGGCAGCCATGATAAGTGCCGTTCGAATTCTCTAGAATGATAGGAAAGGAGGTTTCAAACTTCCTTTATAACCTCCTTTAGCTTAGAAACCACTGGACCTCCCTAACCGAAAGGAGAGGAGAAAATGCTGCCCCACAATGCCTTGCAGCCGCAGCATTTGCCGTCACACAACAGTCAGCCGTTCACGGAAACAAACGATTATGACGGAGAAATTATATCATGAAAGTTATGGTGCTTATTAAGCATTTTAAAACGTATGTGGTAAGTTGCCAAAGTGCTCTGTTTTGAACGTTCATCAGTATTATAATCAAAAAGAGAAATATGAACGTTAGTTTTTACTGAAATGATCAAATAAAGTCAACATTTCACAGTCTTTACTGAGCTGTGTGGGGTTTGTTCAACTTTTAAATGTGGTGGTTGTATTCTCCAGCCACCTCCCTTATGTGTGTTTTCCCTTCCCCTGTCTGTGTGGGCGTGGTGGCTGTCACTCCTGGCTCCCGGCTCAACCTCCACCTGCTGCAATCAGTTGGGCACCCTCCTCTGCTACACACCTGATTTCCATCAGCCATTACTAATGGCATATCAGCGGAGGCTCCACAACCTGTCAGCGCCAGATCGTTGTTAAAACCCCAGTGGTAAAACTCTCAGCCTTCTCAGCCTTCTTAGAATTAGTTAGCTATTTCCGCTACACTTCAATGTTCTTCTTACCTGTTCTTCTTGTGCTCCAGGATTACTCTCCAGTCGGATTACTCTCCACGCTCCTCCACCTCAACAGCCGCTAGCAACCGGAATACTCTCCACGCTCCTTCTCCTCAAAATAAAACCTTTGTAACACTCTGCCGTGTCCTGCGTTTGGGTCCTCTCAGATAACCGTAACATTAAAAGATGTTTGAATGGTGGTGTACACAGTGATAGGTGTTAAGGACTAACGTTTATAATAAATATATTTGTATTGATTTTAAGATATTTTCATAGTTCATACAATCATACGTATTGGGATCATTTATTAATGTGGACCGGAGGGAGAGGGCGACTAGCATAAGTTTCACTTTCATTTTTTATTTCAATTCCAACTTTGGTCATGAAGAATATGTTTCTCTGTTGTCCACGTTCATAAAGCAAAGCAACAGCATCAGAGCACGGTGCAGAGTCTCTAAATGAGTCCGTCGTTCTTATTAAACATCCATGTTGTAGTCCGCTGTATAGAAAACTGTAGTTTCCATAGTTTCCCCACAGCAGCAGACGCACAAAATGACGTCCGCTGGCGCATCATAAACACGTCGGATAGTGAAAGTGCATTCGGATTCTCTAAGTACCGCAGTCTCTTCTCCAAAGTCCTTTTGAATTCTCCTATCCACTATCCCTTAACCCCGTGACATTTCCCTCAGAGGTCAAGGAATAGGAGATAGGGTTAGAACTTAGGAGCTGATTTTTAAACTATCCGACCGCAACCCCCGTCTCAGGTCGGTTAAATGAAATCCTTGCTTCCCTCACTTGCGTCGTTTCCCTGCGTCTAGTCCATCCCACCAGGAAAGCATGGAGGGACGAAAGGAAACCACGAGAAGCAGGGAAATGAGTTTTAAGAGCAATGGGACGTCCTTTCCTCCTGAGCGCCACGTGAAGCGACGTCCGTTTGAGATGACGCCGCACAGCTGTTCGTCTGACAGCAGCTCTGTCCCCGTTGTTTTCACAAACACCCCACACAAACATTTGTATCATCTGTTGTAGACCCCAATAAATAAAATCTAAATAAGAACTAATTCTCAAAAAAGATAAACGCCATTCTTAAAATGTATAAACGAACAATAGTTTGATTAATATTGATTAGAGTGCACAATAGAAATACAATAATTGAGAGAAGAAAAAGAGATATGTTATCTATCAAAACCCAGTTAGATTAACATTCATTGGACTGCACACTTTGTTTGTTTGTTTGGATATGTAGCACATTAACATTTTAATAGCACTTAATGACTGACTGAATGGAAATGACAATAAATGAAAATGTAAAACGAAAAAAGCGATCATGAAAATGTTTCCAATAAATGAATAAAATGATTTTTGACCACTTTGTTGTTCAGATATATCACATATTTGTAACTAAATGATACATGAATTGAAGCAAAACACAGTATAAACTAAAGGTTACTTACGTAACCCCAGTTCTCAGGGTAACATGAAGTGAGATATCTCACTATGGGATGCGCCTCAACGCGTATGCAAACAGAATGCGCCTCAACGCGTATGCAAACAGAAGCATCAATCTCATTATGCCAATCCTGATTGGCTGGTGATCTTGACGTCTACGTCAGGGAATCCACCCACCCTTTAAGTAGCTTGCGCTACGTCGCAGCGTCATTCAAAATAAGCACCTCTTCTCGCTTCACCTTAGCAAGAAGGGCCGTCTGGTGAGACATCTCACTTCATGTTACTCTGAGAACTGGGGTTACGTAAGTAACCTATAGTTCTCATTCACTCCTTTCGATGTCTCACTATGGGATATTGAAACTCCCGTATTGCTAGACATGCTAATCTCGAAAATCACCAAAAACAACCAGAACTTAACAGGTAGAACCAGGGGCGGACTGGGACAGCCCGGGACGTTCAGACGCACCGGCCCACACACCGGGCCGCCGCCCACGCATGCAGGCCACCCTTGTAGCCTACAGATAAATTATACATCTACTATGCTCATATACTGTATACTGTTATGGCTAGATTCCCCAGAATCAAGCCATCACATAAAAGAGAAGGACAACAGGAGTAAGGTGCAAAATGAAATCTTCCTTTATTTAAGGTTTCTTAAAAATGTCTGTGTCATGTGTGAAGTGTGTCAAAGTGGATATGTAGGAGTCAGTAACGTGAATGTACAATTGGGGTTAAGGACAAAGTACAGCAAATGGGTTCTACCTTACATCACCAGCAGGTGTCGCAGCAGCTCACTTGTCTCTGTGACCCTGACAATCACTCCATCAATGTCCAGAGCCATCAGAATCTCCTTCTCTGTGCACATGAGCATGAATGCCTCCATATGCTCTTGGGTCAGGGTGGTCCTCAGTCGATTCTTCACATATTTCAGTGTGGAGAAGGTCCTCTCACAGGCAACTTGACTGAATGACAGTGTTAGGAGGAACTTGTAGCCCAATCCAATGACATGATAGGCATCAGTCAGCAAGTTGTACTGTGACAAGACATGATGCACACAAATAGCACAGTTTTTTGCAGTAGTTGCAACTGTTCTCTAGCTCCAGGTCTTCTTCTCTTCCATCCTCCCCTCCGGTTGTCCTGACATTGTATGCATCCAAATGGGGCATCTTCAGTCTCTCCCAACAGTTGGCTAGGCTTGACAGCTCAGCCTGCAGTGTTCCAGCAGTGGCTCTTTCATCATACTTCTGCAAGCATTCACTCAGCTTTTGCAATGCTTCTGTTGGAAGGCCCATTTCCTTTATTTTAGGGAAATTCCGAGGATCAAGACATGCAAAGTCTGCGCAGAGTGGTCCATTTGCAGCATAGCGACTCTGAATGCTCTCTGTGACTGTGTCCAGAATTACATTGTGGACCTTGATCCTGTAGTCTGCCTCAGCGTCTGACACAGGCTCATCTTCAGCCAACTCACCTGGCATGGCCTTCTTTCTCCTGACGCGTTTCTCTGGGAGCACAGCTTGGACCATAACTTCACAGTCATCCTTCTCCTGCAGCTTGGCATTGGCCCAGTCCACAAATGCATCTGCTGCTCTTTTCACCTCATCAAAACCCCTGACACACTTGTTGAGGCTCTCTTGGGTCCCTATTACTAACCGATGGGCAGTCAGTAAGTCCATGCCGCTGGTTTGGAGATACTTGGAGAGGGGTGACGTGATTTCAAATATTCGGAGAAAGATCTGAGCGGTCAGTATTGTCTCGAACATTAGGAGAGACTCTGTGTACCCCCTGGCTTTTGCTCTGACATGTGGCTTCATGGAGTCTTCTTCTTCAATCCTTGTTAATGTTGACACCAAGTCAATAAACAAGGCACGGTCAGGATTGCCAAAACACCCGAATATCTTGCTCAGAGCCTGATCCTTGGCCCACCACCTTGTCTCCCCGATTGGAGACAGCCGTCTGTGTCGTGTGTCTTCACTCACTTCCTCCCACATGTTCATACGCTTGTATGACTCTCTGATGAACACAACAACATCATTCAGAAGTGAGAAGAGCGATGCACTGGCTATCACAACACCTGTGGTGTCTCCTAGCACAAGGTTCAGGACGTGTGCGTAGCACCAGATGTGCACTTGGTTGGGAGACTCTGCGGAGAGCAAGGTGGAGAACCCCTTGTATTGGCCCTGCATGTTTGCCGCTCCATCGGTTGAGTTTCCCACACAATTCCGAAGATCAATGTCCACCTTTGCCAGAGTTTTCTTCAGTAGCTCTACAAAAATATTGTCCAGTTGATGACTCACAGTCAACCACAGCTATGAGCCTCTCGTGGACCACATCTGTCACATACCTGAGGATAACAGCACACTGGTCTGTAGATGTAACATCCTGTGTGGTGTCGATCTGCACAGAAAACATGCCTGCCTCCCTTACTTCCCTAGATATGGTTTCTTGGATTAAGTGGCTGATGACATTGATCACTTTGTTCACTGTAGTTTTTGAGAGCAGAGTGACAAAGGACCCTCTGCCTTTAGACCCAGTCTCATGCAGCTTCTTGCTTTTTTCAACACATTGGGTGACATGTTCCTGCAGGCAGACATCGTATTTGCTGAGCAGGATGATTAATTCCAAGAAGTTGCGATGGTCAGCAAATTTCTCCCATGTGTATGCTGCTTCAAATTGGTTGCCTCTAAAGCTTAGACCACGCTTTCCAATGACTCTGACTACTTCTATGACACGTTCCATGACTTGCCGTTTCTTTCTGACATGGTCGCTGTGTAGAGACATTTGTTTGCCACTGAGTAGGCTTGCTATGTCTGCTTTACTAGCCTTCATAAAATATGCCTCAGCACTTTCTCTGTGGACTTGGTTTTTCTCGTGCTCTTCTATTCTTTGATGTACATGCTTCCAAGATGTCATTCCTCCTTTAATGAATGAGCTGTCATTTGCAGATGGCTTTGCATACACTAAACATACTGTACAGTAGAGTGAGTTGGATTTCTCACAATATGTAAGCCACTTTCTATTGATTCCATCTTTGTTGTTGTAGATATTTGTAACTGTTTGTTTTGGGGGTTGTTGAGGGTGGTATGCGAAAAATGTATTTATATCTTTAGCCTGAGGCCGGGCAAAGTAATCAAAGCTCACTTCATCAGTCTGCATCTCCCTGTCTTTTGGTTCTCCTGTGCTGGACCCTGCAGCTGTCTCATTTTCCTCAGGGTCAACTGTACTTGACCCTGCAGCTGTCTCACTTTCCTCAGGGTCAACTGTACTTGACCCTGCAGCTGTCTCCCTTTCCTCAGGATGAACTGTACTGGACCCTGCAGCTTTCTCACTTTCCTCAGGGTCAACTGCATAAGAAGAACATCAGCAATCAATTAAATTACCAATATTATATCAATATCATGCACAATAATGTCAATCACTAAAATGAATGCAATAGTGAATTGGCCACACATCTCTGTGTCCTTATTATTGAATATTAATTTATTGAATATTAATATTATTTAATATAATTATTTAAAATTATAATATTATATAATTTAACTTGGAATATCATGAGCATATGACTCTATCCTAATGCATCTAACTTTATGCACAATATAATAGTCTGGCCATAGCCCTGCAGCCCGTTCTAGGTTCTGATTGGCTCTCTAGGTTGGCATACTAGCTTCTGACTGGCTGTCCAGGTTGTCAAT